TTCATTCTTGATACAATTGAACCTATCGAACTGTTTTTTACATTTTGTATCCGGGGTGCACTTGAATCTCCAGTCACTTATATTGAATATTCGAAAATGTTTGACCTAAATAATTAGATGACAAAGTTGAAAAACGGGCGATTTTTACCAGGCGGAGGAGTAACTTCTTTTCTCTCCCCGTTTTAAAAATCGCATACTTTTCAAATCAGCCCCCAAATATTTTGGTAAATTCTGACCTTCGCACAAACTGCTTCGATAAACGTGGATTGTATCGATATTGAACACATAATTTCAAAATTTCAACCAAATCGAAGGGTTACACTTCACGCTATCGCATTGTTAGTGAAATACACAGGGGAGAGCATTTTCCCTATTGAAGAAATCTATGCAAAGCGTGCAGAAACACATCTCCTAATGAAACTCAAGGCTTAAAGAATTATTTATTTACATCGATATGCGACCTGGTTCTAATTAAATATTTAAAGAAACTACTTTTTTCATGGTTATTTATGTATGTACATCACATCCATACTTAGATACTGTAAGTGGCCTACTGACACGAATTCAAGACAAAAACAGCTCGAAAGTCGACCCTATTCGGGTGGTCGACAATCTGCGTGCAGGATTTTTTGGGCTAAAATGTGCCTAGACCTGCATGTGCATATTCCTAGGTCCATCCAGCTTATGTGCGGCTCCTAAATTTTTAACGAGGCTAGCATAAACAGCAACTTAACAGGTCTCAACTATATTTTTGACTTTCGGAAGTATTCCTTAGAAATTGCAATTGCTCTTAGAAATATTTAGCACCAACTTGTTTCGAAATTGTTATAAAACTAGATTTTAAACTCAAATCTAACAATTAGTTTAGGAAATAATCGTTTTCAACCAAAATATTTTCATACAAAATTTAAAAAGCGGCCTCTCACAATGGAAATCAGTACCATGTTAAACAGTGTGACTAATTGTGAAGCCCAAATTATCTACGAATCCCCCATGTTGCAGGACACCTTTCCCCTAAACCCATTCCTCCCTTACACCATTATTCTCATGACACCCTACGCCAACGTAAATTTGGCTTTGTTCCCTTTCCATTCCAAACTTCCCTTTGCCATCGACATCCTTCAAGCTCGATTTGCCGCTTGCAAAATATCACTCATGATCCCCCCGCTTTATCAAAGTATGGTCGGACAACGGCCACAAGTTGATCTATCTCAGTGGATGTATGCCCCACTAAGGCGAAGTTTATTCATGTTTACAACAATTCACAAAAAAATTGGCCGAACTGCGATGAGTCTCGGGCAAAAGAATCATTTCATGATTTTAATCCGTTCTGACGATATCGAGGATGGCTTCGTCTCCTGGATGCTATTTCGGTGTGAGCGGTATTTCCAAGGGGGTAAAATTGAGAATTTTGCTATTGTCACAATCGCCAGGGGAGGAACTAGGCATATTTGCGTTCTTATGCAAGGCTCTTATCCTAACTTGAGAAACATGAAGTGTCAAAGTGTCACAGTAGCTGGAATATCTGAACACCTGCTAGCCAGATTATCTACACCGCCACGATTCTGGCGTGGTCTGAGAAACTCTTACTTCGCAGCAGGAGCAATTTTTAATTACATGATAAATCTCGTCGTAAAGAAGGCCAACGCGAGTACAGACATTTCCAAAGTTTCACAAGTTGAGGAACCTTATATTCCAAGTATATACTTGGATCGTGCATTTGCTGAAAGTATTGTCACAGACATTATGCAAATCCAATTCCTATCGTGCTACTCAGTAAAATATTTTTCCTTCATGTTCTACCTACTTCCGTTCAAACCCGATTTGTGGGCCGGAATAGGGACGGCTTTAATTGTGCAGGTGATAGTAATCAAAATTTATCAGATGACGGTAGACACACTAAAAAATGTCTCAATTTCCCCATGGATTATCTTCTTTGCAACATTGTTTGAAGAACAATGCATTCCGTCAATTTTGGGAAAGACCCTGTTTTTCCGTTTAGTATTTGGCACTTGGTTGATATCCGTAATGCTTTTGACAAGTTGCTACAACAGTTTGTTGACAACCGAATTGAACGCCCCGCTGCCAGGAAAAGGTCCAGAAGCGTTTGAGGATTTAGTTTGCGAGAATTCTGAGCTGCTAAACTCCGCCGTAAATTATAATTACTCTGAGCTGTCAGCTATTCTAAAGTATGAAAAATACCACAGCTACTGGCGCACTACGTACGACTGGTTTTTTGAAATAGATAACCCACATTCTTCTACAGACTGTTACGCTATGCTGTCCCAATTGGAGGCAAACTACGTCGGGCCAACACGTAATATTTTCCAACTTCTACAACAAACTTACTACAACGATGAAATCAGAGTTTTCACAATTTTTGAAAATCCGTCCAGCCGCGACATCTTGCCGATTCTTTTGGCAAACCCGAAACATCGATTGTCACCTAAGGGTGTCAATAAATCTTTAACATATTTTACGCATCGAGAACTCGTTGAACTGGAAACTGTGGACTGTACACAAAAAACTGTGTTCGTCGCACGGTCTGACTTGTTAAATATTGAGTTTGAGTTCCTGTCGAAAAGTTATCCCCGTAAATTATTTAAGAAAAGTGTTAACAGCTTAAGCACCGTAATGATTGGTTGGTTTTTCGACGTCATGGAAGCTTCCCAGATTTCCAAAAATTTCAGACTACTCTCAGAATCTGGGATATATGGGTGGATGACTCAAGAAATGTTGGTGTCGTTGAATTTGAATAGAACGGCTGCGTTAAATATTGAGCAGGAAAATGGCGCCGTTCCGATGAGAATGGGTGGAAATATCGATACGCTCTTCATCCTCTTTGGGACCACGTTGGGGTGCGCCGTATTATGCGGAGGAGTGGAATGTCGCAGATATTTTTATGATTTGGTTGTCCGAACCAGTTTCTTAATTAGGGGCAAAGTAAGGCAGCTCTTAGGGCGGCGGAAGAAAACAAAAGCTCAACGCTTGGTTGGGCGTTGACCATGATTTTTAGGTTAAAGGTATTTCCGCTTTGGGTCACGGTGAACGGCGCAATTTGATTGAAAACGAAATTCTACACGTGGTGTAAAAACCAAGCTATCTTCTACCCGAAGTATAGTGTCTTTACGTATATTTAATTGTGTTCTGATCGTTGGATTAAAAGAAAGTGACTGAGTGAATATACGTGCAATTTAATCTACTTAAACTAGATTTTATTTCAACTAATTAAACGTGTACAGTAATTAAAAGAAACTAACAATTCTTTCAACTCGACTGTCTACCACGACGACTCTCAAGTAACTGACGATTTTCCTACTTACTACATACTACGACTTATAACAAAGAAAGACGCACACCTCTTTTCCCACTCATGACGTCACCATGGTGACCACCACCACGTCAGGGGGCAATTGTATACGAATACTCATTTTTACATTTAACACGTGGATTAAAAACATAGAAAATAGTTAGAGACAAAATATAACGACAATAATTTCAATTGGCCAATTTGCTACATTTATTTCCATCGTTGTTGGGAAAACGCCTTAATTAAATCAAGCACTAGTAAATCAATAAACATATATTAATTATGATTAATGACAAACAACTTTTTATTATTTGTACGACTATAAAGAACGAAATGCTTATTAATAATTTCAACAATTGTAAAAGCGTCACCTACCATCCAAAAATTCACGGCGATGCATACATCGCAAATTGGTAAACGTAATGTCTAGCTCGACACGAATATTTTGAATTTCTGGATAAAGGTGAGGTTCATCAGTGGCGAGAGTAAAAAAAAGCACAGAGAAAATTAATTTCTTACGTGAGAATTCTTCTGACTTAAACAATAATGCTTTCGATATTGTGTTATTGTTCAAAATTTAAACATTTTTACCCTTCTTTTATGCATGACAAAACAAGTACTATGATGACATGCATATAAATATGTTCTGTGTATAAAATGGAATAAATAAAATCTCAAAAAATGTGATTTAAGTGTGCTCTAATTTGATTTAATATATCGTAGATTCCTAATCATACCTATATTTCCACATATTTTTAAGTCTGTACATTTAGCCAATACCGCAAAAAATAAATTATGTCCTCATAGGCATCTAGAATTTTAACTGGCCCAGTCATTGCAGGTAAGTAAGGAGGAGTATGGGCCAGAGCTCAACGCCGACCAATTTGTCGGCGGCGGCGGCGCCAATTTTTGTAGATTTTTCGGCGGCGCGGCGGCGTGCAATCGGCGGCGTTGACCTCTGGTATGGGCGAGTTTGGTACTCTGGACTGCTGGTACAGGATGTACCATATATTTACTTATGAATGAATGAATTTACTAATCCCGCCTTGGGGCGAGGGGCCACATCATTGCGTTTGATGGGGTATAAGTATTCTATCATATAATAATAATATATTTACTTATTTGAGAATTCAAACAGCGGTGAAATGTCCTTTATGTCTAGAAAGCTAGTATTTAAAAAAGGTTGCCAGTAAACAATTTTGATAAAGAAGATACCCAAAAGAGATTCTAGCCAGCTAGCTGGGCTGATAATGGAAGGCCCAGAAAGGCAAAAATTGAATAGAACCCTAATAAAAAGTCTATAAAATATATTCTATATTTTGGTGACAAAATTTCTCATCTTCTACTAATGTCTTGATAATGAATGGCAGATAGCATTCGAAATATTGACAATAAAAAAATTTCTCTACGAATTTCCACTAAAACTCCGTGTAGTCCAATTATTTAAAAAAGTCTATAAATAAAATATCTTTTTACTACTGGATACATCAACCTTTTCAACATTGACCACTCGTCCTAGCCTACATACAACTTGGGACGTAGAGCAGACCCATCCTGCCATCAAAAGGGAAAAATAGGTTCGTCGACCAGTAAGGGTGCATTCCTCGCAGGAATTTCCTATTACATCGAGGTTTGGACTCGAGGTTCCAAATAATTCCATATTCACCTCAAATGCATACCAACTAAAATTTTTCTACCAACATAAATCTAGTTTGCATGGACCAGTTAAGTTTTCCACACAGCTCAACGTTTTTTTGTGGTTCGTCAAAAGCTAATAATATTTTGAAATACTCAATGAAGTAATATTTTATAAGTAATACTAATACTTGTTTTACGTGCGAAATTAATAACCGAGAAAATATCAATTATTCGTACTACTTAATTACCCAACACATTAATTATTCGATGCTTAATTTTTGACAAATTTATACTAATCCATACGTAGCAAGAAATGGAGCCCTATACTGGCCCAGAGTTGAAGTGTCCTACATGTTTAAAAATTTACAAAACAAACAAATATCTAGAGAAGCATATCCTTTCACACACTAATCTAACTTGTGAGGTAAGGGAGAAGCAAATATACAGGGTGGTTGAAATTTCACGCTACAAAGAAAAATTTTGCAAAGAGACAAGTCCCTAAATCTCCACTGGTTACAATATTTGGGATAGAGATTTTTATTTGTATTGACAAAACTGATGGCAAAATTTTTAAAATGATAAATTTCAAGTAACTAATGGAAATTTACGAATTTTTCCCTGGCATTTAAACCACCCTGTGCATAAAATCTATATGTCCACATTGTAGTCGTCGATTGTGCAGAAATAATCCCTATTTTCTCATTTTAACAGATTTGTGTGAAAACTTTTAAAAACCCCACGTGCCTCCGTCAGCACATCTACTACTTGCACGGCAATCGGCCTAAAAAAGCATGTAGCATTTGCCCCCGAGAATTTAGACTTTTGGCTCATTTAAGACAACACATGAAGAGCGTTCATAGCTCTGTGAAAAGACCTCGACTCCCGTGTAACTTCATCGGCTGTGCGAAAACGTGTTTGAACGAGCGAGACATGGCGTGGCACTTTAGGATGGAACATGCCGCAAACCCTGTCCGACTTTATTGTGCCCTTTGTAGCAGAGTGTTTAAAAAAAGTGGAGATCTTCACCGGCACATTGCGACTCATACGAAGGAGAGAGCCTACCCGTGCGCAATATGTGGGAGCAGGTTTGGGCAAAGTAGAACTTTGAGGTGCCATGAGGTAAGGTTATTTTTTAAATATCAGTTTTCGACGGGCAGAGCTGGGTGATTATTTGTTTTTGAGGGTGGATTAAGGATTATGGATTGAGCACAAAATAACATTTGTTTATGGTGATTAAATTATTTTTGTGAGATTAATTCATGTCCGGATTAATCCATGGATTCCGGAAATTTTAGGATTAATAATTCGGATTAATTGATGAAGAATCACGATTGAGATTAATCTGGATTAGTAATCCGTAATCACGATTATGGATTAATGACATTTCAAGGAATTATTCCCGGATTAATTCTAATTCCAGAAAAATCGGAATTATGAATTAGGATTAATGTAAAAATAACTGTTATTTCCGGATTAGAGATTATGTATTAATAATGCGGGATTAAAATTCATAATTCTTAATCAGGATTATCCCAGCGCTGCCCACGATGCAAAACCTAATAACGGTTTTTACCGCTCGGAAAACCTCACGCCGTTTAGACAAAATTTCGATATTTCTTTTTGATTTTCTACTAGCGAACCCATCAGGACACGTCATCCCGATCAAGGTTATCTTGCCGGATTTGTCCAAGGACGTTCTTGAGCAAACTGGGGTTGCAAAACCACCAGAATTTCCATGAAGGTCGCAAATATCCTTGCAATTTGTGTCATAAAACCTTGGCGACATATTCCGGCCTGAAAATTCATATAAAGACGAAACACTCGGGGGACAAATTGCCACGTTTTCCTTGTGGCCAATGCGAGTACAGAACATGGACCAAGGGAAACCTCGACGTCCATGTGGGACGAATGCACGGAGGGGTGAAGGAGCACGGTTGTTACTTTTGTGGAAATAAGTTTTTCACCTTTCACGGCTTAGTGAGGCATGTCAGTTTTCACATAAATGAGAAATAAACCGTCGTAAAGGCACATAAGGAAGTATCTTTAGACTAGAGTAAGGAAAACCCCGGGATTTTGCTATTCAAAATCCATACCCCGGGGCTTTAGCTGGGTTTTGCGGGTAGTCGGGGTAGTCGGGGTTTTAGGGGCTAACTGAGTCACGACATCATGTATTAAATTTTGAAAACACTAGTTTATGTATATGTATATATATATATATATTTTGGCAATTTCGCAACAAAGCAGCTTATTAATTCAAATTTAATAAAAATTAAATTGTTTAATTGTTAGTAATGTCCTAACACGATGCTTCATGAAATTCGAAAACCCCGACTACCCGTTGGTATTGCTCATTTTTGCTACCCCAAAACCCACCAATACCCGCAAAACTTCAATTCCCCAAAAACCCGGGGTAGCATACCCTGCTTTACACCCATTTTACCCCAACCACTCTCACGACATCGCAGGAAGACTATATCAATAGATTCAATTTTTGTAAAAATCTCATTTTACCCCGACCACAATGATTGAAATTTTTGATGTTGATTATTTTCATAGTTAGAGATATATTTCATGAATTTTATTACGCAATTAATAAAGTCTCTAAAATTAACTTACGGAGTAAAACATTTAGTAAAATATTTAGAAGAAACACATTTTCTTCAAAACTGGCAATGTTCATATTATTATGGATAAATATATAATTGTATAATTAGTAGTTTGATATATGTGGTATATGGTCCAAGTATTTCCTGCTTGTGCGGGGTTTGGCCATTATAATTTTGTAATTTATGAATTTTAAAATCTGAAATGCGACTTAATAAACTATAATAATATAAATAACATATGTTTGGAAATTTTATAATATTTAAAATTAAAAATAAATAAACCAAAATATTTATCAATGGGAGCAAGTTTGGTCTCCATTTTGCCAGAAGTTGGTACCAAGTTTATAGATGAGCTTTGTATTTTACATGTCATATAAGAACCACTACCTGCACTCACACATTCTGCTTGTACTCAAAGTGTTTAATGGTCGAGGAATTTAAATTAAAAACATTTTCATCAGCATTGCCTAACCCAAAATGCACGAAATCTCAATTTTAGTACGAAGATTATCGTTGTGTGCATTAATTTTGCATGGATAAGCTCAACATGAGTACATATTTTAAGCTGAATGCAATAGACAATTATGTCCAAATATAACAATTTGATGACATACTGGACATATATACCATATAACTATTCTATATCATGATCATTGTTGGCATAAAAACAGGTCAAATCGAGTTGATTCGACCGATATTCAAATAAGTATAAAAGATGGCAAGCTTATTAAACTCCATATCGCTCAAATTTACTCATTCATGGATTATACTTATGATTAAAACCTTCGATTGTAAACTAATACCAACAAATTGATTTCTCAACGGATTTAACTGAACCTGAAACACTTATTTACGACGAGTCTTAAAATATCTCTGTCCAACAATAGGTATATAACAATAGGTACATGCATTCTTGAGTCATAATCATGTTGTTCATCTAATCCCTCATCCATCAGTAAAGTGCGAAGTTGTGTTCCTACATAGTCATCCCACAATAACGTCAGGCGTATGTAAATATTTATTGATTACCACGACCTCGCTAAACACTTAATAAAATCCACACATACCTCGATATTCCAAGTTATACATTGGAATGTATTATTAATTACGATGATTTGCTTGTCTCTCCCAGCCACATTTATAAATCAGGTACGTATGCAAGAAATTGGTTTATTGGTTTTGTAGGAATCTGCGCAAAATATAGGTGTGGTTTTTTTGTGTGGGATAATTGTTGAATTGGAGACGTTAATCCATAATTAAGTACATCAGTTATTTAAATTTTTTTCACCACTTAATTAGGGCGGATTACTTTGGCCAATTTCATAGAAAAAATTATGTACGTAATCAATGTTCTTTTTACAATTTGATCCGTGTGACCATAATTTGTAATTTGCAACTTTTTGTTTCTTGGCCTTAAACCGGGTTACAATTGTTTCACTTTCTTTTTTCGTCCATTCACATGTTGCGTAGAATTTCTTCCACATTTCATTTCTTACAATATATCTGCGTCTGTTTATTTCTCGATCTTTATTTCCCCATCTATTCCACCTTAGAACACATTTATTGCATTTTCACCACATTATATTTCTCATACGTTGCAAATCATGCACTTCGGACACCATTTTGTAGCATCAAACATGACAATGACGAAACACTGTTTTAATTAATTACAAATTAACATATTTACACAATATAATTTTGACTGCATAGCTGTGTATGTAAAATGACAATGTTCACGTCAGTTCCACTGAATCAAGCAGAATGGCATAAATGGCATTGAAGAATTAACTATGCAACGAATAGATGCAGTAAGTCTGACTAACTTTGAAGAACGTAACAGTTTTCTATACAGCTAATTTGTCAGTTATAAAATGAAACATATTTTAAGTGGATTAGTGTTAATTTTATTTAGTAGGAAATGTGTGGGAAACTTCACTCCGGTAAGTTTCTGGTATCCTTACATACGAGAGATTTACCGCTTACAATGCAAGTCTTTTACGTGTGAAACTCCGATCTTATGGGGACCAATTTTATTTTGTTCAGCACTAAAAATAAGCTTACCCGTATTTTTGCATTTTCCCTAATGCGCTAATTTAAGCGCGTGGAGCGAATTTTAAATTGTTTTCCAGCCAAAACCTCAGGTTTAAAAAATTCCAGAACTCTTCGAATTTTAGCGCGAATTAAAAAATTCGAAAACATGTCTTTTCGGAATGACTTATCTGCCATATTAAAAATTCAAACAACGCGACAATTGAATTTTAGGATTTTTTTCCTGCTTTGAAGTTTTTAAAAACTGCGAACCCCTGCAGAGTTTTATATTTTTTAAAAATTTTGCAATTGGATTCTAAATAAATCAAGTAAGTCATGAAGTCGTTGACGTTGCCAATCAGTATGTCCCGGAAAATTTCACGGGACGGAGTTCTCGAAATTACAATACGGGTATGGACTGTAAATATCGATTAGTAAAATATTTACCTACAACTATTTTGTACTGGAGGCACAATCTTTCCAAAATAATGCTCCCATCATCAAGCCCTTATTACCGACACGAGGGTACTGTAAAACTGGGAATAGTCAGTATGGGGTCCTGTCTAAATTTGGAAAGTCTCGAAATTCACTTGAGAGGTTTAAGAAAAATTCCAGAGCTGATATTTCCACCTTCCACGTTATTGTTGGACATTTGTACTACATTCAAATTAATTATATGCTATGTTTATTCATTGGAGTATAAATTGTTTTCGCAGAGAACAAATAATTCAAATTCAAACATTCGAATTAAATAACGATGTACTTATGTACAAAATAGTTTACTACGAAGAAAGAAGCGTTCCAGTCTACTAAAAAGCTTAATCAGTTCAAAGCCATTTTCAATTGCAATATCAAAATTGCAGAATCCTATAACTGTCATACATAATTTTATGATGCAAATACGACTAAGCTGACGATGAAATCTTTTGTAGAGGAAGGAAGGAGTCAGTAAGGAAGGTTGACTTCATTTAGGCGATGCGTCCAACTTTTGTTAACATCATTTACACATTTGTTTTCAAGTTTTGTTAAGAGGGTAGACATTTGTGTGAAAATACATAAACAATTAGCTGTTAAGTTAAATGAACTATGTAATATACTGGTAATCTTATATTGACTAGATAATTTATGGTTGCATTGTTGTGTACCAAAATAATTCAAATTAAAAATTGTCAATAAAATTAAACTTAAAGGCGTAGAATTTAAAACCAACTTACTACATGCATTCTACACGCACACGATGACACAGTGCATTTTGTATATGATTACGATTAGTTATTCCATCATATCCAACCTCTTCTGTTTAAGGACAGGGAAATTGACCAATGGCTACCGTACACGTGCCTTCTCTAGTGTGTGTTGTACTTCTCATTTTTCTTAAAAATACTTGTTCCCCGCGGAGCTTCTACATACTTTTATTGTTCTCTTACAAGCTTGTTTAGCCAGTCCAAACCTTCCTTCCCCTTCCATGCATACATTTTACCATAAAAATTTTAAGGTCGTAGCTTGATTGAATTATTACTAATAACTTAAACCCGTATAACTGAAGGAACTCACCACTTCCGTTTGGGTATGACATATTTATTTTATTCATTAATTATTTAGTATTTATGTTGATTTTGGAAAGCGTGGCTTAATCTGGAAATTAAATAATTTTGCATCCCCACGACTATTTTTCAATAACAAAACCAAAATTGCCAGGCTGATAATATATAAATTGGCAAAAAGCTAAAACGGATATTATGGTTGACCGAGGTACGCATAGCAACATTTAATACAAAACGTGCATTGTATAATATTGTGTGCTTATTCCTTAGTTATTAATTTAATTAAGGTTACTTTCATAGAAGCATCATTGGGTAAACAACATTTAAAATTTCCTGCAAATCCTAACGAAATACAATTAAAATGAATTCATTTTGAATAATATATCGAATTTCCTAGCCCCAACTCATGTAAATAAAATTATATCAGCACAAGTCAAAGTTGCGGACGCTTCATGCGCTAACAAATAGATAAATCGTGCTTTAGGAAGCCAAAATAGTATGGCGGCTGTAATATTCAAAGTTGCAGGATCGTATGCAAAAATTTACAAACGTTTCCCCCGTCTTCCGATCGAATTTGATTCTAGAACTAATCGTCTAATCGCCGTCACCAAAATCCAGGACCTATTGGGATGCATATTTGGTTGCGTCGTAAGCATGGCTTTATGCGCGTGGATGCCAAAAATTGCGCAGCTTCTATATCTCATATACCGATCCCTTCAGCAGGGTCACTTTCCAACCACCGCGGAGGAACCGTTTGCTTCACCAATGCAACTTCTCTCCATCGCGATAATTACGTTCGGATCTGGCGGTGGGACTGTAATCACAGTGTTTTCGTGTATCTTCAACGTCGACCTGGTGCAATTGATGAACGGACTCCTGAATCTCGAAGAGGACTTGGTTCGCCGGGGAAGTTTAAATTTCGTTTGTTTGGCTGTACAAGTTAGATAGGGGGGTTCCTCATAGGTATATAGCCTGGAAACTTTTCTTACCATTATTTGCCTACATGGAACCATGTATGCAGCGTCTTAGATTTTTGTAATGTTTGTTTCCTCTTGTATAATTGTAGTAATTGGTTTGCACGTAGGTATTGAAATGGAGGAAATCAACAACAAGAACAAGTTTAAACATAAGAAGCGAAAAATTCCCGCTGTGAAAAAACTTATCGGCGATTTTGTATGCCTCCTTCCATTCTTTGTCATTTACATGGCGCCAGCTTTATCAATCTTTGGCGTCTACAATGAATTAGACTCCTTTCACTTCGTATTCTACTGGTGGCCTGCATATTAACACAATGGTATGGTGCGAATGGGTGTGAAGCTCAGCTCCTTTATCTTCGTCACTCTTTCTGCAATATCGGCTGGTCAAATCCTTCTCGGAATGGGGTACATATTTGTGCTCACGACATGGATAATTCTCCACAACATTTGCCAAATTGACCTGGATTACAAGCAGCGAGGAGTTCTGATTGTAGCGCGAAAAGAACGGAGGTAGGCAAATATAATTTTTTAAACCCTGAGACAGATTACAAAACCTAGAAAA